GTAGGTGACCTGCTCTACTTCAAGAGCTTCCAACAGGACGATGATCCCAAATACAGATTCAATTCAGAATTGGTTTTGAAAAGGAAAATTAAGCTTCTGGAATGTTCTTCTCAAAGCCCTGACCTCAACCCTACTGAAACAATTGTGGGGTATGTTTAAAAGCCTGATCCCGGCCAAGAAACTAACCAGTTTAAATTAAATCTATTTTTAAGAAGTGTCCACAAATATACAGACACAATTATGCCAGAAGCCTCTTGATGACAATCATTAAGTGTCTACTTTGCTAAGGCATGTTTGACCAAATATTAGTGGCAGTCTATGCATACATTTGGACCTGCATATCTAATTTTAACCTTGTGTGGATTAGAGAAAATAAAGATAAATAAAGAAAACATATGTACGCATTACAATGATTCCACCCTGGAAAACACAGCTGAACAAAATCAAAGAAATGACATTGGGGATTGACATTCGTGTCCATGATGAGTGTAAAGTTCTGATCACAACTGTATATCACACATTATAATACTGGTGGTGCTGAAAAGGTTTTTACAGTCTTCGAGCCGAAGATGCAAGATTTTGAGAAGTGAATAGAATTTCATAAAGTCACAATCAATGTTAAACTGTAAAAAAATGTTAAACTGTAAAAAAAATGTTAAACTGTAAAAAAATGTTAAACTGTAAAAAAATGTTGAACTGTAAAAAAATGTTGAACTGTAAAAAAATGTTAAACTGTAAAAAAATGTTGAACTGTAAAAAAATGTTGAACTGTATTGGTGATTGGTGAAGCTCTCACTGATGCAATCTCTGATAATCACCAATGCAAACAAGAAACCTTTTTAGACCCATTAAAAAATAGTCTCAGTGAGAATATTCATTATGTTGTTTAGAATAGAATAGAATAGAATAGAATAGAATAGAATAGAATAATCCTTTCATTGCCCCACAAAGGGGAAATTTGGTTGTAACAGCAGCCAGAAAGACACAAATACAAACAAACAGGACAGAAACATAAACAATTTTTCTTACATATTTAGATCAAGGACAATGGTTACTATAACAACAACATATCTTTTAGCCTTCATGAAACCATTGCACTTAAAACAGAAATAAGGAGTGGTTAATTGATATGGCTGATACTTGTGCCTTGTGTGACTAATTCGCGGTTGATACTCAGCAGCAATAACAAAAACTGTGTCCTTGACAGAAGCTTGATAGAAAATGACTTAAAGATATATCGTCTATGAAAATACTTTCAAAATATCACATGACCCAGGCTTCTGTCGAAACAAGATATCAATAAGATAGATGTGAGTTTTAATATTGTTGATTGTACTGATGCATACATTTTAATGTATGTACCTGCTCTGTCGCTCCATGCTAGCGACTCTTAGGTGCTCCCACCGCGAGTTGAGAAGGTTCATTTGCTCTCTGACTTCAGAGTCCTCCTCTTCACTCAGGTTTCCTTCCCCCAGCAGGGCAGCACCGGCCCGGAGGACTCGTCCTACACTGCTCTGGTGTGTTGTCAGCTCCACCATATACCCCTGTTATTAAAGAAACAGATGGAAGAATTGCACATGCATATTCACAGTAATTCAACTATTTTTTGCCTGAGTAATCCTACAAAGGTGAGGGGGTAC